CTGAGTTAGAGGCCAACCAGGTCTACAGCACAAGTTTCTGGACAGGCTCCAAATGCTACAGAGAAACCCTGTCTTGAAAAAGCAAAACAAACAAACAAACAAAAAAACGCTTGGGATAGTCACATTTTTCATTAAATAAACCAGAGATTTTGTGGGTCACACCAGCTATTCCTGAACTTGGGAGCCTGAGGAAAGAGGTTAAAAGGTACAGGGTATCCCTCAGCTACATTGCTAGTTTGAGGCCATCCTGGGCTATATGAAATCCTACACCCTGCCTTACCTCACCCTCCATAATTATGGAGTTTTATCCCCAGCTCTGGGGAAAGAAAGGGATGCTAGGCTTCTTGCCCATGCTTCTAATCACAGTACTTAGGAGGATTAGAAGGACTGTCATGTGTGTAAGGTCACCGTGGACTACACAGCAAGGCCTTGTCTCAAAAAGGCAAAAGAAAAAAATAAAGGAATATGCCAATTATCTCCCTTGTGGTGCCGGTGCTTCTATAGAACGCATTTCTTTGTTTCAAGGAAACTTTCACACCAAGAAAAGGACGCCTTCGGGGCGGTGGTGGCCCATGCCAGGCAGTGGTGGTCTTATTGGAAGAAATATGTCTCTGGAAGCAGGTTTGAGAGTTTGAAAACTCACACCTTCTCTAGTTTGTTCTCTCTGCTTCATGCTTGCAGTACAAGATGTGAGCTCTCAGCTGTTCCTCCAGCAGCTATGCCAACTGCCTCCACTCTGCCATCATGGACTCTTTATAATTGTAACTCTTTCTCCTTTAAATTTCCTCAGTCAAGCTGTTTTATCACAGCAACAGAGAAGTAACTGATATATAAGAGCTCAGGACCAAATGTGGCACATCTCTATATGAGGAGAAAACCTGTGTCATCATAGCTTTCCACTGCCACAGCCCACCTTATTTGTTGGGACCCTGCTGGGCAACCTACAGTGCCCTTGGTGTTATCGGTTCCCCCTTGATTAGGCGATCAGGTGTTCACTTCCCTCCTTCCCTCTAGGCCTGAATGCAAGAATACAAATTATCCGCCCATTGCCAGGGTTCTTGGGGACATGGACCTTGACCTGAGTAAATTTCCACTGTGGCTACTGTTGGTATCTAAATCTACTCCTCTCTGAAATGACCTGAAATGTCTTGTTTTATTTAACCCTCAGATTCCCTCGCCCGAACCCGTGAAATGTTGTAACGCTGGCCTCAACTTATTTGTTGAGGTTAGGGTCTACTACTGAATCTGAAGCTAGGCAATTAGATAAGACTAGCTAACCAGCAAGCCCCAGCGATTCTCCTGTCTCTACCGCTGCAGTGTTAGAATGATAGGCACATACTAAAGGCTGGCTTTTTAACATGGGTGCTGAGGATCTGAACTTCTGTTTGTGCTACGGGGACTTTATGGACTGAGATGTTGCCCCAGACCATTGTGTATACATTTCTACAACATCCCCACATGAATTACAGAATCTGTGGTAGGCAAAGTTTCACCTCCTCAGCACCCTTTGCCTCTTCCCCACTGCCTACCTTGAATCCATTTTTTACTTTATTTTGGCCATGCCATGAAAAAAGTGTTGTCAGGATAGGCTATGATTTGGGGACCAGAATAAAGATCTTCTTTCTTTTCTTTTTTTCTAATAAACTACTTGAAAGGATCCCAAGCCTGGGAAAGAGAGCCTGCATGTCAGTTGCTGAGCAAATGAAACTTCTGAGGTTCTGTATTGTTCCACTGTATTTATTGAGTCAGGTGGGTACCTTAGGAACAAAAGCAACGGTGAAAATAACAGGCTGGGATCTGGGGCCTTGTTCTCTCTCACACATACATACACTCGTGGCTTATTTGGAGTTCTCAGGTGGGGACCCAGTTCAAATATTTTGACAGCTGTAAAGACCTTTAACACTCTGCTTCAACCTCTGACACCTAGGCCTAAAAAGTCCCTTACCAAATGTGTTGTTTCTTCTTTGTTTGTCTCTTTCTCTTTCTTCTGGGACAGGGTCTTAGTATCCAGGCAGACTTTGAACTAGCTATATAGCTGATGATGACTTTGAATTTCTGATGCCTCTGCTTCTTCTTCTTCTTACTGAGTACTGTGTTACAGGTACGTGCCAAAATGCCCTGTTTAAGAGGTGCTGGGGAATCAAAGCCAGGAATTCGTGTTTGCTTAGCAAGTGCTCTACTAATTGAGCTAATTCCAGCCCTTCTTTTTTTCCTCCTTCATCTCCTCTTCCACTCCCTTTATTTCATTTCTCATTTCTTGTTTTGTTTATTGTTTACTTTTTTGTGTGTTATTTTTCAGGGGAAAGGGTGCATGCCACGAACTCTCCCACTACGTGCAGTCTGATTTCTCACATTTGGGGCAACTACAGGGGACAGCTCATCTGGAGTGCAATGGATAAACTTATTTTAAGACAGGGTTCCACTCTGTGATGTGGACTCACCTAGAACTCACTATGCAGCTCAGGGTGGCCTCAAACATTATCAACACTCCTGCCTCTGCATTCTGAGTGCTGGGAATACAGGTATATAAAACCACATCTGCTCTGTTTTGTTTTTGTTTTGAGTCAGGGGTCGCTTTTTGTTGCTTAGGCTGGATTAGAATTTTCTACATGGCTGGGCGTTGGTGGCACACGCCTTTAATTCCAGCACTCCGGAGGTAGAGGCAGGCAGATCTCTGTGAGTTCAAGGCCAGCCTGGTCTCCAGAGTGAGTGCCAGGATAGGCTCCAAAGATACACAGAGAAACCCTATCTGGAAAAATCAAAAAAGAATTTTCTACATGATCCAGGCTATTGGATTCCCAATTCTGCTTCAGTCTCCAGGTTGCTAGCTCTATGACACTAAACCCCCACTGTTTTTCCAGTCTCTGGTTTACCTAGCACAAAGGATGTCTTGGCTGCTGGTCTCTGGTCTGTGAGTATGCCTGACTGTTGAAGCCTGGCTTTGTCTTACAGTTGGGGCAGCACTACTGCTCACCTTGCTTGGTCCCATTGTCACCCCTGAAAGGACAGCCTCCTCCTAGACATTGGCCTATTTGCTCCCACTGCAGCCGGTTGACTCATAAATAATCAGTTATCAGGATTTTATGGAGACCCCTGTGCAAACCATAAATCTTTGCTGTTCCGTCCAGTATCCTCTCCTTCATTTCCATCACAATATGACTCCAGAGGGACGGGTGGGGGTGGGATGTCAGGGAAACTGAAGCCTCAGCCCCATAGAACAGATTGGTGAAAAACTGGGCACATTAAAAGATGGCTGGGGGAGAACTGAACTGCGGCAGTTGGTCTTAGGGAAACATCTGCTGGGTGGCCAGTTGATGGTGGTCGCTTGGGCCCTTCAGGCACCAGAGAGGAGGCAGGGAAGAGAGAAGGCGGGTTTGGATAGTATAGAGGTTTCTGGAAGAGTGGCAGATGGCTGTTGGTTCCACCTTGGTTCCTTTGTTCACTTCAGGATGAACAGAAACATCAGGTCACAGACTGCCATTGTCCTCAGGGCTAAGCTATATCCTTGCCTCTAGCCTCCTGCCTGTTAGAGCAGCAGATGAGAAGCAAATTTCCAATTTAGGGTTACCACCTTCTCAGCAGACTAGCTCTCCATGGGTGTGTGTGTGTGAAAGTTTATTAGTAGCACCTGTTGACAACCCCCAGTACCTCTTCCTGAGGCTTAGAGACCAAACCCAGGACCCCATGTGTACTAGACAAGCTAGCTCATGCCTTTAATCCCAGCACTTGGGAGGCAGAGGCAGGTGGATCTCTGTGAGTTTGAGGCCAACCTGGTCTACAGAATGAGTTCCAGGACATCTAGGGCTGTTACCCTGTCTGGACCCCCCCCCCAAAAAAAAAACAACAACAACCCACAGTGGCTTCAAATCAGTCCTTTTGTCTTTCAAAGAATTCTAAATTAACACTTGCAGAAAGGGCTTTGTTTTTTTTTTTTTTTTTTTTTTTTCTTCTGCCTATCTGTCTTTGCAGTCAGATGGGCAGTATGGGTTAAGACAGGAGGAAAGAAAAGACTGAATCCAGTCACTATCAGATTCTCCACCATAAATACAATCAAATGAGACCTCTGCCTTCCTGCCCCCTTAAGTCTCACCGACTCTTCAGTAGGTATGGGCGGCCTTCTTTAACTGGTTCAGTGCAAACCATGACACCACCACCCCCAATTCTGGAGGAGACATCATGATTCAGTAAGTCCCAGGGGTCATTATAGGTCTGCGACACTCCTTTTACTGTGAAAGAAGCTCACCCCCTGAGAGCCCAAGGCCCCTACAGTTACAAATACGCCTGATAAAACTACTGGTCTCAGCTGGGCCCAAGCCTTTAATCCCAACACTCGGGAGGCAGGGGCAGGAGGATCTCTGTGAGTTCGAGGCCAGCCTGGTCTCCAGAGCGAATTCCAGGATAGGCTCCAAAGCTACACAGAGAAACCCTGTCTCGAAAAACCAAAAAAAAAAAAAAAACCAAACAACTACTGGTCTCGTTCCCCTCAATCCACGTCAATCCACAGCTGCCTCGTAAAGCATCCAGCTTCTGGCTTGGGATAAATACGGCCTGTAGGGAATCTAAAACTAAAGGAAGCCTATCTTCTAGTTGACCTGAAGAGCAGCAGGTGGATTGCGGGTGTTCCGCCCGCCTATGCGCAGATGGATACCCAGCCAAAGCCGGAACCCGAGTCTGGGGGTAACCCCGGCAGGGGGCGTGGCGTGGGCGTGGCTTGGCGTGGGCGTGGCGTGGCGTGGCAGAGACAAGCCGTCACCGCTCCTCGCGCTAGGCGTCCTTTGCGTCTCCAGGGACAACCTCTGCGGGCGCCGCCGCGACGGTTAATCAGATTCCCGACCGAGGGGGCATGGCCGCCTGCTGCAGGGGCCAATCGAAAGCCTGGGAGGCCCAATATACAAATATGAGGGCCGGGCGGACCCGAGGTTAGGAGGGACGCGGGTTGGGGCCGCCTTACCGGGCTTGTGGCAGCCAATGGGCTCCTTGCTGGGAGGAGGTGTGGGCCAGCTAGGGTGGTTGCGAGAGATCAGAGCCGCCCAGCCGGGGAGAGCCGGGGCAGTAACAATCGCGGGTAAGGAAACTCGGAAACCGGGTGCTGGCGTGGCCCTAAATCGCCGCCTTCTAGTGTTGTCTCCCTAAAATACTGTCTCTACTCGAGGCCACCCCTCTCTGCCTTCCGTGGTGTTCCATGATGCCAGCCTCTCACCCTCACGAACCCTCCTCAGCACCACTTCTCTGTCCCTGGTGCTAATACTCACTTCCCGGTTTTCCACAGCTAATGCTATCTGGGGACAGTCTCTTAGATACCAACCATCTCAGGGACACTTGAGGAACTCCTCACCACCCCTCTCCCGCGCCGGGTCCGTCGTCATTTTTCTGCCATTGTCCGAAGAATCCTTCCAGAAAGTTTTGTTTATTTTTCATGCCTGGAATAGTCTTATCCCTCCATTCTCTTTTCAACTCTTTCTTTTGCCTTTCACTTTTCTTTCTTTTGCCTTTCACTTTTCTTTCTTTTGCCTTTCACTTTTCTTTCTTTTGCCTTTCACTTTTCTTTCTTTTGCCTTTCACTTTTCTTTCTTTTGCCTTTCACTTTTCTTTCTTTTGCCTTTCACTTTTCTTTTTCTTTCTTTCTTTCTTTCTTTCTTTCTTTCTTTCTTTCTTCCTTTCCTCTCTCTCTCTCTCTCTCTCTCTCTCTCTCTCTCTCTCTTTCTTTTCGAGACAGGGTTTCTCTATGTAGCTTTGGAGCCTATCTGGCACTCGCTCTGTAGACCAGGCTGACCTCGAACTCACAGAGATCCGCCTGCCTCTGTCTCCGGAATGCTGGAATTAAAGGCGTGAGCCCAAACGCCCGGCAAATATTATTATTTTATGCACATTGGTGCTTTTGCCTGCTTGTATATCTGTGTGAGGGTGTGGTATCCCCTGGAACTGGGGTTACAGACAGTTGTGAGCTGCCATGTGGGTGCTGGGAATTGAATCTGTGTCCTCTAGAAAAGCAGCCAGTGCTCTTAATGACTGAGCCATCTCTCCAGCCCTCTTTCTTTCTTTCTTTCTTTCTTTCTTTCTTTCTTTCTTTCTTTTCCCCGTCCTGAATACTCTTCTAGCCTTGAGAAAGTTATCTAGAATTTGAGCTCTAGGGAAATAAATATATCCTTTACATTTGGGAACAAAATATAAAGAGAACTAAATGTTCATTAACTATTGTTATGTGCCAAGGGCTCTAAAAGTTTTATTTAGTATTTCTACCAGTATTTCATCATCGTCGTTGTGATCATCATTTTGGGGTGCTGGGGATCCAACTCAGGGACTTGGGCAAGTGCTTCAATATGGAACACCTCCCCTGTATCCTTACTTGACAACATGGTATTTATTTTGAACCAAACACGGCTTGAAGAGCAGTAGAAATACTATCTGGGTCTTTAGAACGGGATGGATATTATCTTTTATTTAGGAGGAAAGTGAGGTATAAAGAGGCTACTACTGCCCAGGGTCACCACTGTAGAAAGGAAGAGAGTGCAAGGCCTGGTCATCGCTTGCCTGCCATCCAGCCTCTTGTGATGCTGAAGCAAGAAAATTTCAAACTTGGGGTCAGCCCAGGCTGCATAGTGAGACCCTGTGAAAAGGAAAAGCAAGAAAGGAAATAGAGGTGGTTTATCTTGGCTAATATTTTCCTGAGTGTCATGGAGGAACTGGGTGGTCATGACCCTGGCATGAAAAGTGCATCTTAAAAACAAATAAGCAAAGGTATGAAAGAAAGGAAGAATATTGCATCTTCTAACATAAAAAAATCCACCAGTTTCTAGCAGAATAAAAGATAACATCTGGGGCCGGGCGTTGGTGGCGGACACCTTTAATCCCAGCACTCGAACTCTGTGAGTTCGAGGCCAGCCTGGTCTCCAGAGCAAGTGCCAGGATAGGCTCCAAAGCTACACAGAGAAACCCTGTCTCGAAAAACAAAAAACAAAAAACAAAAAAAGGAAAGAAATAGTGGGCTTTGAAACACAGAGATAAAAGAGCTTCACCCATCATTCTTGTTAATCAGCCCTAAAACCCTGCTGTTTATAGGATTTGGTCATTCGTTCAGTCTTGTAAAAGAAAGCACTAAAAACTTCTGCCAGGCTGGAGAGATGGCTCAGCGGTTAAGAACAATGACTGTTCTTCCAGAGGTCCTGAGTTCGGTTCCCGGCAACCATATGGTGGCTCACAACCACCTTGAATGAGATCTAGTGCCTTTTGTTGGCATGCAGGCAGACAACTGTATACATAATAAATAAATAAAAAAATCTTAAAAAATAAAAAAAACTTTTCTGCCCTTTGGAACAGTGCCAGGGGACGAAGAGTAGAAAGCATGTATAATCCTTCAGAAGTAGCCACGAGGCCTGTGAGGTGGGGCATGTTTGTGAACCCTTCACTAAGGAGGCGGAAGATCAAGGCTAACCAGCCTGGGTTGCATGAGACCCTCAGTCACAAAGCAAAACAAACACAAGCTTTCCCTCAAAAGAAAGAGAGACAAAAAAAAGAACCTGGTTACCAAGTGTTCTGGCAAACAACCTGCAGAGCCTTTGCCAGGGCCGAGGCAGTATTCATTGCCTCCTCCTGGTGGCCAGCTAGGGCTGTCTAACAAGGATTATTCTTGACTTGGAAGATGAAAGTCAAATGGGAGGACTCTTCAGTGTCTTAAGTATCCTGTTTGGAAAGTTTCGCATGTCAATACAGTAATAACAACTTCTGGTCTTGTGTTTGAAGCAGGTCCTTTGCAGTGTTTTTTTTTTTTTGTTGTTGTTGTTTTGTTTTGTTTTGTTTTGTTTTTTCCCATTTTTTCGAGGCAAGCTGGAATTTTGGTCCTGGCCTCTGTGACTTGGTCTCCAACTGTGGTCAGTTCCCCTCCCCTAATCTAGAGGAGTGTTAGTATGTGGGAGTACTTGCCTGAGGGAATTCTGTTCTGAAAGTAAGTGGGTGGTTGAATCAGACTTTCTTTCTTTTCTTTCTTTCTTTCTTTCTTTCTTTCTTTCTTTCTTTCTTTTTTTGTTTCTTTCTTTTTCTTTCTTTTTTTTTTCTTCGAGACAGGGTTTCTCTGTGCAGCTTTGGAGCCTATTCTGGCACTCGCTCTGGAGACCAGGCTGGCCTCGAACTCACAGAGATCCGCCTGCCTCTGCCTCCCAAGTGCTGGGGTTAAAGGCGTGCACCACCACAAATTAGACTTTCTTCAAATCTTTCCCTGCTGTAACATTGAGGAATTCCTTGAGAGTTTAGGAAACGTTTTGAATTCATTCCTGGGTTTGACCCTGGCATCCCATAAACTGGGTGTGATGGGAGATAGAGACAGGAAGATTAGAAGTTTAAGGTCATTCCTGGCTGCTTAACAAGCTTGAGGCCAGTCTGGGTTTAGCAATTCTAATTTTTTTTCTGATATCAGAAGCTTAGAATGATTGGGGGTGTTGTGGGGTGTGGATTGATGGTAGACCACATGCTTAGCTTTTTAAGGACCTGGGTTCAATACCTGTATAATAAAAAAGCATTCTTTTCAGCCCTTGGTGAAGCAGCTTTATTCTAAGTCAGAGCTGCTTGAAAAAAAAAAGGGGGGTACTAATGTAGGGTTCAGGAGCATAGTGCTCACCCATCTCAGGAAAAGAGTGCCCACCCATCATTCTGTGTGAGGTCTGGGCTCAATCCCCAGTACTACAAAAGGAAACAAAACAGACAGACCCTCTGCCCACAGGCTAATAGTATGCAGGAACAAAACTAGTAAGTTCAACCATGAGAAAATCAAGTCAGGCACCGTGGCTCAGCTTATGACCCTGCACTCAGCAGGATAAGGCCGCCCATGGCTACATAGAGTTCAGGCCTTATGAGAAGATTTATACACTTCACCCATGGCCAGGAAAGAAAAAAAGAGTGGGTGGGCAGTGGTTCTGGAGGTAAAAGGATTGGCCCCCAGGCCTTGATGACCTGAGTCAACATGCCATGGCGCAGTTGTGCGCCCACACACACCTCCCTATACATACACATAAAAATAAATAAAATTCCACTTACAAAAATTAAGAAAGAAAACAGGGGTTGGGGTAGGATAGTGCAAGCCTGTAGTTCCAGCACTTGGGATGCTGAAGCAGGATGATCAGCAGCAAGTTCCAGACCGGTCAGGGCTACACAGCAAGAAAGAAAGAAAGAAAAATAAGGATCTGGGGAGGTAGCTGGGAGGACAAAATGCTTGCTGTGTGAGCATGAGGATCCAGCCTGCAGTGTGTCCATGTGTCCAGCACTGGTGAGCAGAGACAGAGCCAAAATGGCAAACTGCAGGTTCAGTGAGAAATCCCATCTCAGAAAATGAAGTGGTGAGCGGAGAGGAAGGCATTGACCTCTGATCTCTACACATGCATGCACGGGCAAATGTCCCTGCACGAATGTACACACACATATACCACAAATATACCAAAAAAAAAAAAAAAAGTCAATTCTCTCAATGCTACTGTAAACACAAAGCTACTTGCCACTTGGTTTCTGTGTCATAGATATTAAAAGAATGTGAAAGAAATATTTAGGAGTGCAGTGTCTGGCAAGTCACTCAGCTGCTCTTTAATTGTTGGCTGAAGGAATGCAGACCTACTTTGACAAGAGAAATCTGTGTTTTATAAGAAATGTGCGTTTTCTACTTTGCAAGTCCTCTTACTGAGTAACTGTAGCAATAGCCACATCCTCCTGTGGACCAGGGAGATGTTTCTGCAGGCTAGATTTGGGGCGCAAGTCCGCAACAGATAATGCTTTAAGGAGATGTTCTTTCAGGAGTGTTTGGGGAGAAGGCAGACAGATTGGATTCAGCCTTGGACATGAAACAGGTTCCAGAATATGAGGGAAGAGAGAACAAGGGAAGGGGGCATGGTGGCTCACACCTGTAATCCTCACTAACTCTCGGGAGTTGGAGGCAGGAAACTACAACTACAACCACCACCACCACCACCGGCTGGGTGTATAGGATCCGGGTTTGAGTCCCAGCATCAGCGTGGCAGCTCAACATCCATCTTTAACTTCAGTTCCAGAGGATCTGCTGCCCTCCTCTGGCCTTGCCAGGCACTGCACAGATGTGCCACACAGACAAACATAGGTGCAAGCAAAACACCCATGCACATAAAATGAAAATAAATACATCTGAAGAAAGAAAGGAACCAAGGCCAAAGCCAAACTAATCACAGGTAGCAAAGGCTGTTGTTTGCCATCTTTCACCTGTTTCAGCTTCCATCTTGGTGGCTCTCGGATCGTATGTAGCCTAGAGTACAGGACAGGCAGGATGGAGGAACGAAGGCCATGATGACCCGCTCCTCTACAAGTGCATGGGTTTGGTCTCTTGGCCTATGTGCCAGGGCCCTGTCACATAAGAGAAAACAGAATTGGACTTTGTGTGTGTTTGCAACAGGGTTTTAGTCTCATCATTTAGGGCATGATTATGGTTTTCAGCGCCACAACTGCTTTTTTTTTTTTTTTTTTTTTTAATACCATCATGTTCTTCTCTTTGGGGCAGACATAATTTACTCTTGCCACTTGGGCAAGGCCCTAAAAAAAGGCGACAACAACCCACAGTTCCAGAGTTCAAATTCGGGGTCAGTTTCTCCCCAAGTTAACATTAACCTTTAGGTAAACGAGCCACTCCTGTACAAGGGCTTGGTAAAGAGGAGCATTGTTGAAGGCCTGGGGAGTGGAACTGGTCGTTTACCTGTGAGGAAGGGAGCAGCCCAAGGCCAAGACTTGATGTTCCCCAGTTCTCTCAAACGTTGCCAAGTTCACTGGGAACATTGACTCATATGACTGCCCACGTTTTCTCTGTCGTTTGTCCTGAGGGCAACCATGTTTTCCACCAATGGAGAAATAAGCGCTACCCATGGCCAATGCAGCAGTTTGGACTCCTTCCCAGGGGTGGTGGTGAGCATTTACTCAGGGCATGTATTTAAAAATCCTTGGCAAAGCCACAGCAATATGCCACATGAAGGTTTATTGTTAAATTATTCATAGGTAGCCTTCATGGTTAGAACTCTACCTGTCAGCACCAGGTTAGGTTCAGGCAAAGGCCATGGAGGAGTGTAAGGGTGTCGTGGCATCAAAAGACATGCTGTGGGGAATAGGTGTTGTCTAGAATCAGCAAGTTTGGATGGAAAAGGGAGATGATTCCTAAGAGATCCAGCGGCTCTGGTGAGATTGCTATAATTGCCGATTGCTGGAGGTAGTTAGCTGAAATTGTTACAAAAAAAATCCCTTGGGAATATTGTCTTTTGTTTTGAAGACAGAGTCTCATGTAGTCCAGGCTGGCCTTTAACTAAATTCATTCAAATTCTGACCCTCTTGCATCCACCTCCCAAGTTCTGGAAACCACAGGAAAAAGTATTGCCTTTAGGGCTGGAGAGATGGCTCAGAGGTTAAGAACACCAGCGGGGTCTTCCAGAGGTCCTGAGTTCAATTCCCAGCAACCACACGGTGGCTCACTACCATTTTGAATGAGACCTGGTGCCCTGTTCTGGCACGCAGTGATACATGCAGACAGAACACTGTATGCATAACAAATAAATCTTAAAAAAAAAGAATTGCCCTCAAAAGCTGGGGATGGGAGTACACATCCTGTACCTCTGGTATTTGGGGGGATGAATTGCCATGAGTTGAAGGCCAGCCCGGGCTACATAGTGAGATCCTGTCTCAAACAGACAAACAAGAGGCAGAACAATCCCCAAAGAAGTAAAAGACCCTATACATGGAAATATGTTTCTTGTTTTTCTTCTTTAGAAGATGGGATCTCACTATGCTCAATGATCCTCCTGCCTCAACCAAGGCAAAGTTCCTTTGTTAGAGTAGGCAAGCCACAGGTGATATCTACCCTCTCTTTTTGTAGTTGTTGGTTGTTTTGTTTTCTGAGACAGGGTTTCTCTGTGTATTCCTGGCTGTCCTGGAACTTACTCTGTAGACCAGGTTGGCCTCGAACTCACAGAGATCTGCCTGCCTCTGGGTCCTGAGTGCTGGGGTTAAAGTGCATGTGCCACCAACACCTGGGTCCCCTCTCATTTTTAAGGCCTTCTTTAACATGATTTCAATAATAATCTGAATAATAATAATATTTTTTCTTTTAATCCAAAAGGTGTGTATGGACAGAACAGGGAGTAAATAGCAAAAGGCCTGTGGCCACCAAAGGAGAGGGGCTAGAATGATGAGGTTGATGGGGGGGAGAGCATTGTGAAATGGGCTTTATGGCCATAGGAGCCTTGCCTATGAGGGGTGTGATCTGGATGGGGCCCCGAAGACCTGGGTTACATAGACGTGGATAGACTAAGTATGTTCCTAAAGAGCTGTGAAGACTGAACACTAGATACAAAAAACAAAACAAAACAAAACAAAACAAAAACAAAAACAAACAAAAAACAACCACCCATATATATATGTGTGTGTGTGTGTGTATTTGGTTATTTGGGGCTGGAGAGATGTCTCAGCAGTTAAGATGGGGTACTAGTTTTCCAGAAGACCTGAGTTGGGTTTCCAGTACCCACATCTATTGATTTGCTACCACCTATGTGCCTTAACTCATGCTTGAATCTTGCTGTGTGGGAGATTGAGTGTGGCACTGCAACGGTTAACAGACCTCAGCCCGCCTCCTGTGCACCCTGGGGACTGATGCCCTGAGCTAGGAAGGCTTGAGGCTTACTTAGTTCTGAGGTTGTCTCCAGACACACTCACTCACTTTAATAATAAGATTGTTTACCAGGAGGAACCTGCAGAGCAGCTCAGCCTCTCTCTGAAAACCCCAGATGGCCAAAAACCAAGGCCCGGGTTGGCTAAGTGAGTCCCCAAGGCCAGAGTCCTTGACAAGAGTGCCACTGGAGGGACATGCATTTTTTTTTAAATAAACTCCCACATGAGCAAGGGAGGAGGGCCCCCTGCAGGTGGAACAACGCAACTGCAACTTCTGTTCGCTCTGCCTTCTCTCCAGGGAGGGCTGGTGTTTCCCCAGAGCCTCCTCCAGGGCTGGGAAGATGCTGCAGTGCCTGACTTCGGAGAGTGAGGAAGGGGGCAAAGAAAAGGAGAAGTCTATAGAACATCTAGAAGAGCTACAACAATTTGTCACCCTGGCTTTTGTGATAGAGAACACACAAAAAAGGCTTCAGAACGGCCAGCAGCATGGCAAGAAGAAGAGGAAGAGAAAAAGGTTAGTATGAAAAGCAAGGAGGAGTGGGGTGGGGACTGGGCGGGGGCGGAATCAGTGTTGATAAGAACACGAAGGACCAGAGGGAAGAGGGACTTGGCTGATGAGAGGAAAAGGGGACACCGTGGGCTTGGCTTGTCAAGATCACACTACTTTCAGTTCACATAAAAGAAGCCACTCTCCGTGTTCCGTTTTATGGAATCCCATAACACAGTGTGTATAACCTGGAGTCACACCTTGTTCTAATTTTCGTTCTATTTGTGTTTAAATGCTTTTTAAAGACTGGGTGGGGAAGGAGCTCCTTGCTGAAGGGGTAAGAAATTTCCCTTCAGAAGTGTAAGTGCAGGCACGGCGTGTCAGTCCTGGGAATGTCACACTCTTGCAATGTGACAGGACCATGACGACTTGCCAGCCCCGACTGCAGCTTGTGCATTCTGGTTCTGGGTTAATACTCGGCTGCTTGTCTACTTTCTAAATAGCTTCCTTTAGTGGGGAGAGAAGGAGACAATATTTTAGCCAAAAAAATGTGTGATTTTTAAAATCCCTGTCCCTGTTCGGCTGATAGTGTAAAAGCACAGGGGCCGCTGGGGATGCAGCATAGAGTTAAGAGTGCTTACTTTTCAGGTGGAAGGTCCTAGGTTCAAATCCCATTGCTGATAAAATTAAAAGGGATGGAGGCGATGATGTTAATATGAAGCCAAAAGCAAAATTAACCCTAATTGTAATATATAGATAATAACGGAATGTATAAATATATACAAGTAATAAATACATAAAATAGCAGAACTTTAAGGCACAGTTCTGCACCCTTTAGTGATGGGGATGGGCAGGCCCTGCAGACTCAGTGTGGCAGAGGAGGCATGTGGGTCGGGCTCCAGCCCTATGTTCTGGTCAGGGGATCTGTCTCTGTCTTGCTGTTTGCCTTTTTCTCTTTTCCAGATGATTGGTGATTAATCTATCCAACTGCCGCTACGACAGTGGTGAGCATCTGTGTTCAGGGTCCGTGATGAGAACTGAAGGGTGGGAATGAGTCACTCCTGTGTGGGCCCCAGGGTGAAAGACCTTGGTCTGCAATCCTCAGTTCTCCCAGCTCCATAAGCTATTAGGGGAAACTGAGAATCTCATTTTGAAGGTCACAGGTTGGAGCCACAGTGGTGTGCTATAGTCTTACTTATTTATGTATTTGTGGCAGGTTCACTAAGTAGCTCAGGCTAGCCTTCTGAAAGTCACAGGTTTGGGCTACAGTGGTATGCTATAGTCTTTTTGTTTGTTTGTTTGTTTTTGGTTTTTTGTTTTTCGAGACAGGGTTTCTCTGTGTAGCTTTGGAGCCTATCCTGGCACTCACTTTGGAGACCAGGCTGGCCTCGAACTCACAGAGATCTTCCTGCCTCTGCCTCCCGAGTGCTGGGATTAAAGGCGTGTGCCACCAACGCCCGGCTTAGTCTTATTTATGTATGCATTTGTGGCAGGTTTCACTAAGTAGCTCAGGATAGCCTTCTGAAAGTCACAGGTTTGGGCCACAGTGGGATGCTATAGTCTTATTTGTGTATGCATTTGTGGCTGGTTTCACTAAGTAGCTCAGGCTAGCCTGAGACTCACAATGTCAAATGTTTTTTCCTCATCAGTTTATCTCACTGATCAAGCCTGGCTCTAGATTCTGGTTTACGTTCAGGGCTTAGTGATTCCTGGGGAAGGGAAGCCAGGTTAGGCCTAACATTCATCCCACATAGCCCAGGATGTATCCTTCAACAACATTTCCATTCTCTACACTCTTGCTTTACCCTGCCCACAAGGCAAGATGGCTTCCGTTCCCAAAGAGCCAGCTGTCTTGTTGCAATACTTGGTCCGGTAGTGCTTAGGAAGGGGCCTCCCCACATGGAGCTCTTTCCTGCTTGTACTCCACAGACCTTTCTTTCTTCAACTCCTTCACAGTGCGCAGGGCAGCCCAGCAGTATGGCCTTCGAGAGGCAGGTGACAATGATGACTGGACTGTCTACTGGACGGATTACTCAGTGTCACTGGAGCGAGTGATGGAAATGAAGAGTTACCAGGTATGTTTCTCCCTGGATGTGTGGCGTCTAGCCAATGTTGGCCCCATTTTTATCATGGCACTCCGATAGCCCTGCTGCCACTAAGACAGAATGGCTCATGAATTCTCGCTTCCTTTGCAGAAAATTAATCATTTCCCTGGGATGAGTGAGATCTGCCGTAAGGACTTGCTGGCCCGGAACATGAGCCGTATGCTAAAGCTGTTTCCTAAGGACTTCCATTTTTTCCCTAGGACCTGGTGTCTTCCTGCCGAGTAAGTGTCCACTTCTTCCACCTCTTCTGCTCCACTTCCCATTGTCCTTTTTTTTCCTCTTTCAGTCCTGATTCCCTGGCTTCCACTCTCCCTTCCCATGTGACCTTCTATATTTCTCCCTACTGTTCAGAAAGAAAAAGGATAAGGGTGTGTCCAAGGTCGAGAAAACACAGGCTCTGCCTGTAAAATGAAACGACCATTAGGGGCTGAGTGCCCTGGAGGTTGGACCCACAGTTAGGATGGAAGTTTGTTCTGATCCTGAAAGCTGTGTGAACTTGTTCCAACCATTTCCCTGTGCAGTTTCTAAAACTTTAAGGAGAAAGTGGGGTTGTGGTTGGCATCCAGAGCAGGAGCAAAGAAGGCTGCCTAGCCTGTCCCATTGGATGGCATGGATGCCACCCACCTTCCCCTTCAAAGGAGACATCGCTCCCAGAATATGAGCGCTTCGCACATTCCTAACGCTGCAACCATAACACTGTTTTTGTTGCTAATTCATAACTGTCATTTTGCTATGGTTATAAGTCATGCTGTAAATACCTGTGTTTTCCCGTGAAAACACAGGTGACTCCGTCATTCAACCCTCAAAGGGGTCACAACCCACAGGCTGAGAACCACTGCTCTAGATCCTCCCCCAAGTAGAAAGAAAGAAAGAAAGAAAGAAAGAAAGAAAGAAAGAAAAAAAGACCTGGAGTTTGTGAAAGGGTGGTGGCAGCGAAGAAGTGTCACCATCAGAATTATATGCAAGTGGACTGAAGAGCTGAGTCAGCAGCTAAGAGTGTGTGTGTGTGTGTGTGTATGTGTGTGTGTGTGTGAGTGTGTGTGTGTATGTGTGTGTGTGTGTGTGTATGTGTGTGTGTGTATGTGTGTGTGTGTGTATGTGTGTGTGTGTGTGGGTGTGTGTGTGTGTGTATGTGTGTGTGTGTGTGAGTGTGTGTGTGTATGTGTGTGTGTGTGTGTGTATGTGTGTGTGTGTATGTGTGTGTGTGTGTATGTGTGTGTGTGTGTGGGTGTGTGTGTGTGTGTATGTGTGTGTGTGTGTGAGTGTGTGTGTGTATGTGTGTGTGTGTGTGTGTATGTGTGTGTGTGTATGTGTGTGTGTGTGTATGTGTGTGTGTGTGTGGGTGTGTGTGTGTGTGTATGTGTGTGTGTGTGTGAGTGTGTGTGTGTATGTGTGTGTGTGTGTGTGTATGTGTGTGTGTGTATGTGTGTGTGTGTGTATGTGTGTGTGTGTGTGGGTGTGTGTGTGTGTGTATGTGTGTGTGTGTGTGAGTGTGTGTGTGTATGTGTGTGTGTGTGTGTGTATGTGTGTGTGTGTATGTGTGTGTGTGTGTATGTGTGTGTGTGTGTGGGTGTGTGTGTGTGTGTATGTGTGTGTGTGTGTGAGTGTGTGTGTGTATGTGTGTGTGTGTGTGTGTATGTGTGTGTGTGTATGTGTGTGTGTGTGTATGTGTGTGTGTGTGTGGGTGTGTGTGTGTGTGTATGTGTGTGTGTGTGTGAGTGTGTGTGTGTATGTGTGTGTGTGTGTGTGTGTGTGTGTATGTGTGTGTGTGTGGGGGGGTGGTTGTTGCTCTTGCAGAGGACCCAGGTTTGGTCCCCAGCACCCTTATGGTGCATACACACACTACACATACTTGTAGGCAAAACTCATACGTAAAACTTTAAAACTCTAAAGATTTTTTTTAAAAAAATGTTTTAAAAAGCATTACATTCGCACAGCAAGGAATCCCACCCTCTCTTCTCTACCTAGTTATCCCTAAACTAAGAACCCTTGGACATGTTTGCCATTCAGACAACAGGGACCTCCAAATTTCACAGCCACTGTGGACATTGTAGTTCACTGACTTCCTCGGTGCATAGAAGATTCCTTTGAGATAAAGCACAAAACATACACATAGTAAGGCTGAGACACATATAATCTATTCATTTGATTTCTTTCCTTTTTATCCACTTTTTTTTGAGAAAAGACCTCACTATATAGCCAAGGCTAGCCTAAAGTCAAACTCTGCCTGCTTCAGCCTCCTAAATGTTGGAAATACAGGTACATGCCACCATGTCCACTTTTAATTTAGTATATTTCTTCTGAATACATTTTTTTTGAGACACTGCATCACGTAGCCCAGGCTAGCCTTGAATTTGCTATGTAAATAAGGATGTTCTTGAGCTGTTCGTCTTTCGCCTCCAATATTTAAGTGTTGGGATTCCACATGTGTGCTGTTACACCCAGTTTGTATGGTTGTGAGATTGAACCCAGAGCTTCATACATGCTAGGCAGGTACTCTGTCAGCTGACCCATGCCTCCATCCTTAAGCACACTTTCTTCAGAGTACATTCAAGGGTGTGGTTTGCCTTCCTGTACTCCTGCCTTAAGCGGAGGCATCACAGTGAGACATTGAAGTCCAGTCATGAGTAAGTGGTTCAGGTCACACTGCTTTTAGGGTTTGAGCCAGGAGCAAAACTCCAAATCTCCTGTGTGTAAACCCAAGTCAAGCTCCCTGGGGCACCTCACATCACTCAGCCCAATTTATGTCATGAAACTAAGGAACATGTGAGACAGTTCTCATTATCCACATGGTGTAGAAGATGGAGATGAGGAAGCAAAGCCAATAAAGTGTTATTCAGCCAGGAAGTGGTGTGGGCTGGGTTTGAATCCAGTGTAAATTTCCTTTAAAGTTTGGTGTCTGTCTGCTTCGGGTTGACCACTGAGTGTCTGTCTATCAACACCAGGGCTTTGTCCCATCCGTAGCTTCTCTTTCCTGTTGTCATAAAGAGCCTCCTGGGGCTGGGTCTTCCAGAGGACCCGGCTTTGAATCCTAGCACCCACAAGTCAGGTGCCTCACAGCTGCCTGTAACTCCAGTGCCAGGGGAATCTAACACACTCTTCTGGCCTTCTCAGGCACTGGGCACAAACATGGTGTCCAGACATTCATGCAGACAAAACACCCATACACATAAGATAAAATATAATAATGAATAGTTTTCCTTCTCATTGCTCCCAAGCTAAAGGTGTGTCTTGTCCCTTCCCTGCTGTGACAGCTGGGGAGATTTACAGACTTACAGCAGGTCAAGAAAAAATAAGACGTACATTTGTAAGCCGGACTCGGGCTGCCAAGGGAGAGGCATATTTATCACCCGGACGGTGAAAGAAATCAAGCCGGGGGAGGATATGATCTGTCAGCTTTATATTTCAAAGGTACTTCCTTGCCATGATTATATATTTGTTGCCCTCAGCAGCCTCGGGCTCTGTGGGACAGAATGTGAAATGAAGTCAGTGGAAGACAGAGGCGGAGACGAAACTGAGCCTGTCTTGTGCCTTGGATTTGTTCAGACCCAAGCCTTCTAAGCACAATGTCCCTCGACCGCCCTTGCAGTCCCCACCACTGGTGTGGCTTCATCAGACTGACCTCTCCCTCAAGAGGATGAAAGCTTGGTTTGTGGAGGCCCCCCTGCCTCATTTGAGAGAGGAGAGTCATCTAAGAGAGTTCATAGTCACCAGCTTTTGTCTGACTGGGGGCAGAGGGAGTCACAGACCACAGTGATATAGCCCACTGAAGAGAGGGACCCTTCTAGAAGTGTAGGTGATGGGAGAGCGGGGTTGGGGAGGTGGAGTCCTGGCTTCCCCAAGACAAAATATTCAGGAGCCCCTTGCAAGAAGAACTCTTAGAAAAGGCACCTGTAACGTTGCCCTGGAAACATGTGTCCTGACCTGGAAGGATTTCCCAGTTACTTGGTTTAGTTGCTAAGACATCTCTTAGAGAGGGCTGCTTGCAGCATTCCATAGCTCAGGAACTCCAGGGACAGTGTGGTTTGGTGACCTCCCCAAGGGTCGCCTGTCAGGTCCCAAGCCCAAATATCTTTATCCTGTTCCCCACCCTGGGCAAACCTACACTTTACAGCACTAGGCAGTGCTGGAGCTAGCTCCCCCAAGATTGAGGTGGGAGTTAGACCTGTGACTGTCACCTCCAGACGCTTGCATGACTTCTCTTCTTCCCACCCAGCCCTTTATCATCGATGGGTTCAAGTTTGACTTGCGGGTTTATGTGCTGGTGACCTCCTGTGACCCTCTCAGGGTTTTTGTGTACAAGGAAGGACTGGCTCGCTTTGCCACTACCTCTTACTCCCACCCCTGCACAGACAACCTGGTGAGCTGAGGTGACACGCTGCCTTCCCTTCCCCCTGAGCATGATATTGTAGAGCTGGCAGGCATCAGAGGAGTACTTCCTGTGTTCCTAGTTCACGGGTTTCTCATGTAGTCCTCCCAGGAGCCTTCTAAGATAGGCCTTATTATCCCCGTTTTACAGATGAGATTAAAAACTGCAGAGCAGCTGGGCAGTGTTGGCGCACACCTTTAATCCCAGCATTTGGGAGGATCTCTGTGAGTTTGAGGCCCGCCTAGTCTACAGAGCCAGTTCCAGGATAGTCAGGGCTGTTATACAGAGAAATCCTGTCTCAAAATAAAAATAAATAAATAAAAATAAAACAAACAAGGTGTGGGTAGAGAGATGGCTCAGTAGGTAAAAGCACTGGTTCAATTCCCAGCACCTACATGGCAGCTTACAACTGTCTATAACTCCAATTCCAGAGGATCCAGCATCCTGACACTGACATACATTCAGGAAAAACACCAATGCACATAAAATAAAAATAAATAAATAAAACAACTTGCGGAGTATAGGAGATTTGTCTGGGGTCACTCAGCTAGGAAGTGGTGCATCTGGGATTTATGGCTAGGCCTTCCAGACACCACTACCAGAACTACAGTGCAGAGAGCTGCTCAAGGAGAGAAGGCCATGGGTAGCCTTCCAATCTTCCTATTCCCCAGTCTCAGAAAGAGTTGGAGTCTTATACCCCAGTCTATACCCTTTTTACCTCCTGTTTGCCCCTTTACATATGCCTATAAATTCCCCCTTTTCCCCATCCCTTTAAGCTCCAGGGAGTTGGGGGTGGTGGTGGCAGTGCCTGGAGAGGACACAGGAGGCCTGGGCTTCAGCCTGAACCGTGGTCTTGTGTCTTTCCCCAGGATGAGATCTGCATGCACCTGACCAACTATTCCATCAATAAGCACAGTTCCAACTTCATCCAGGATGCTCACTCTGGCAGCAAGAGGTAAGAGGGACCTGTGCTTCCCTCCTCTTTCCAGGATCCTTGCAAACCCACTCAGTCACTGCCAGGACGGCTGCCTTGGGTCACATGATCTCCACAAGGGCTGCTTTGCCTCTCAGCCTGGAACAGGCACTTCATGTCAGCGCTCTGGGCTGTTAATCATTAAAGGGAGGCCATGCTGTAAACCCTGGGAGGCTAGAAGGAGGGAGATAAATACGAACCGTTTCCCCAGCAGAGCACATACACACACCAAAACATACCTCGTTATAGTTGCCTTCCTGACGTTCCCAGATCAACAGCCTTGATTGATTGCTAGGCTGCCAAGGGAGAAGGACTTGCCAGCTGTGATTCCTCGGGCTGTAGTTCCCTGGGGTGTTGGTCCATTACAGATTCTCAACTGATGTGTCATGATGTCCTGGAGTCACCTGGCCTGTGGCTAGGCAGCCTTCAGATTGGGGAAAATAAGGGATTCCTGAGGATTTGGGGTCCTCCCACCACACACAAGCAACTTTTCTACTCATGTTACTGGTTCATCAGCTTGCATTTGAGAGAAAGGTAGACCAAGCTGTATGAGCGTGTCCGGGAAGAGAGGGGGAGGCCAAAGGGAGTCTCTGGGTGCCAGGGAAGATAGTAGATGCCTATATATTTGTTGTTAAGTTTTCACTTCCACACTGGCCAAGACATCAACAAAGCACTCAGGAACTTGAGTAGAGAGGGGTGTTAGGTCCTATCTCCAGCTCACAGATGAGGAGGCTGAGTCTCAGGTTAAATTGCCCAAGGTCACACCACACAGCTCTGAGTGCTACAGCTGGGTTAAGCAGCTCTGTTCACTGTGCCAACCTCACAGGGCTCATGGGTCAGGGAGGGATGGGGTATCTTAATACATGGACTGTTACTAGTAGAGCATTTATGGGAAGAAGATATTATATTATATTTATATATATATAATACGTATATGACTAAGAAGATGTTACGTCTCTCTCTCTCTCTCTGTGTGTCTCTCTGTGTATGTCTCTCTCTTTCTCTCTCTCTCTCTCTCTCTCTCTCTCTCTCTGTGTGTGTGTGTGTGTGTGTGTGTGTGTGTGTGTGTGTGTGTTGAACCAGAGCTGGCCTCAAGTTCACTTGTGGTTGAAGATGACTTTTACCTCCTGATGTTCTTGCCTTCACTTTCCCAAGTGTTTTTGAGACAAGACTTGAAATGTAGGTAAGGCTGGTTAGAACTCACTTTGAAGCCTAGGGTAGCCAGGAATTCCCAATCCTCCTGCCTCAAGGGCTGAGATTACAGGTGTGCATTACCATGCACAACTTCAGCCACCCCCCTTTTTAGAGGATGCTGGCCCCATGTTGTCTGAAACTCTTGTCACTGCTTCTTGCATCCAGACTGTGAGTGCCATGGGACCTCCCGCACTGGTGTGTGTTCAGCATCCCTGACTGGGAGGCCTAGCATATCACCCTCACTTTGACAGTTATGTGCTGAGTTAGCCTAGACAAGTTGCTTTGCCTCTGAGCCTCCACCCCTGGGTTTTAAGACACAGCCAATGAGATAATGTGCCCTGTCCTGGCCTCTTCGTGGGGTTCCCGTGAGACTCAAATGACCCATGTTGCAGCCCACTCTTAGTTAGGTACTGTTATTTATTTATTTTTTTTCAAGACAGGGTTTCTTTTGTAGCTTTGGAGCCTGTCCTGGCACTCGCTCTGGAGACCAGGCTGGCCTCAAACTCACAGAGATCCGCCTGCCTCTGCCTCCCGAGTGCTGGGATTAAAGTCGTGCGCCACTAATGCCCGGCTAGTTTTCTTTAGTTTAAGGAACTTTATTTGCCTTCTTTTATGAGAAGTGATGTCATCAGGCATTGTGGTGTGACTGACATACAGTGGTGCTGAGTTCTAGCACTCAGGGGCTCTCTAGACTGGGGCAGAAGGATTATAAATTTCAGGCTAGTTTATACGGGCTATATAGTGAGACCTTGGAGCCAGGAGAGAAACAGAAAGAGAGAGAGAGAGAGAGAGAGAGCACCTCAGGCTCTGATGCACATGGTGTTATCGGAGCAGCCAGACCAAAATAAAATGTGGACACATCTGGTAATATTTTTTTACTCCCCTCTGGCAGTACTGAATTCAACCCAGGGCCTCGATATGCTAAACAGTGTTCTAGCAGGAAGCCTCCAATAACACCCAGCTTCTCTTTGCCCTCTGACCTCTCTGCTCTTCTCCATTGGAGCAGTCATCTGCCCCCAGGGCCTCTGCCCTGGCCTCTCCTGGCTCAGTCTCTCTCCCCTAGAGGCCCATCTCTCCCCAGCTCAGCAAGTGTGCCAGAGAGAGCCAGATTTTATAATAGAGCCACACCCACAACCTTTTCAGCTGAGCACAGATTAATCCACTTAAGAGGGCCTGAGGCCTCCCAAGGGTCAGGTCTCACAACACCACAGCACTGGGGGCCAAGGTTCTAACACTTGAACTTGGAGAGAAATACTCAGCCTTCAGTGTGCTTCTCTTATTGTCCCTTACTCCCCCTCCTCCCTCTTCCTTTTTTTTCCCTATCCCTCCCTCCTCCCCACTCTGTCTTTTTGAGAGCCCTTCTCCCCATCTACTGAGACAATTTTCTCTCTTGCCTCTTCAGAGTTGGCAACTGACACAAAGCATACCCCCAACCCTGCCCCACCTTTCCTCTGAGGTTCAAGGTCAGTAGGAGCAGGAATCCAGGCAGTCCCAGAGAAAGATAGAAACATTGTGAGCATGGAGGGACTCTGGACAGACACCAAATATCTTCATCCTTCAGCGTGCCTGGCACACACCTGATGTGAAATTGAATCGAGTTACCAATGGGCATTAGGAAATTGCCAGTCAGAGTAAATTAATGGTGATGGGCCCAGAGTCATCAAGAAAAGGTTAGGATGTTGTGTTTTGTAACACATGTTATAAGAAGTCAGGGAACTGTAGTCTATTCCAGGAAATTTTATTTGCCAATTAGGCAAATTGAATGTTTCCCCCCCCACTAGAAAGCCTTGGCTTTTCTGCCAGGCTTTGGTGGTACATGCCTTTAATCCCAGCACTCGGGAGGCAGAGGCAGGAGGATCTCTTTGAGTTCGAGGCCAGCCTGGTCTCCAGAGTGAGTGCCAGGATAGGCTCCAAAGCTACACAGAGAAACCCTGTCTCGAAAAACCAAAAAAAAAAAAAAAAAAAAAAAGAAAGCTTTAGCTTTTCCTACAGCATGGAAACCCTATTTATGCACAATGTTTCTACCTGACAAAGGCGGGCAGAGAAACGGCCTTTGTGTTGAGAGCCTTTGTTTATGTCCTGAGTGTTTCACAAGTGTTGACTCCTTATGTGGCCCTCTGGCTTCCTGTGACAGACAGACCTTCACTTGCACAGCAGTCCCTTAGCATAAGCTCCTTGGCTGGCAGGCCTGCTCCTTCCTTTCTGACCCTTCACTGGAGTCCAGTGAAATGATTTTCTAAAAATAATTTTTTGCCAGGCAAACAGAGACTGAGAGATTTCCTGGGATGTGGGTTTTGTGTTTACACTGGGTACAGTATAGTTTCTCTGGGACAGCTGGGAACTCTGGGTATAGAAATGTCTTGGGGCTGCTGTTCTTTGTAGGCAGCCCTAAAACAGGATTTTCAGTGACCCAGAATCTCCTCAGATGACCGAAGTGTGACCAAGGTGTCAGTGTCCTTCAAAGGCTTCCCACAGGTTTCTAAAGGTCGCCAAAGGCTGAGAGACCACAGATGCTGAAGCTGAAGCAAAAAAGTAATGTGAGGAGTGTGTGTGTGTGTGTATGAGTGTGTGTGAGTGTGTGAGAGTGAGTGTGTGTGAATGTGTGTGTGTGAGTGTGTGAGAGTGAGTGTGTGTTGAATGTGTGTGTGTGAGTGTGAGTGTGTGTGAGTGAGTGTGTGTGAATGTGTGTGTGTGAGTGTGTGAGTGTGAGTGTGTGTGAGTGAGTGTGTGTGAATGTGTGTGTGTGAGTGTGTGAGTGTGAGTGTGTGTGAGTGAGTGTGTGTGAATGTGTGTGTGTGAGTGTGTGAGTGTGAGTGTGTGTGAGTGAGTGTGTGTGAATGTGTGTGTGTGAGTGTGTGAGTGTGAGTGTGTGTGAGTGAGTGTGTGTGAGTGTGTGTGTGAGTGTGTGAGAGTGAGAGGGTGTGAATGTGTGTATGAGTGTGTGTGAGTGTGAGAGGGTGTGAATGTGTGTATGAGTGTGTGTGAGTGTGTGTGTGTGTATGTGTGTGTGAGTGTGTGAGAGTGAGAGGGGGTGAATGTGTGTATGAGTGTGTGTGAGTGTGAGAGGGTGTGAATGTGTGTATGAGTGTGTGTGAGTGTGAGAGGGTGTGAATGTGTGTATGAGTGTGTGTGAGTGAGTGTGTGTGAGTGTGTGTGAGTGTGTATATGTGTGTGAGTGTGTTTTTGTGTGTATCTGTGTGTTTTGTGTGAGTGTGTGTTGTGTGTATGTGTGTATATGAGTGTGAGTATGAGTGTGTATTTTCTGTGTGAGTGTGTATGAGTGTGTGAGTGTGTGTAACTTGTGGTGTGTGTGTGTGTGTGTGTGTGTGTGTGTGTGTGTGTGTGTGTGTGTTCTCATTCTTGGAACTCTTCATCTAATACCCAGCCCTTTTTTGAGCTCACAGATTTTTTGTTAGAACATTCCCTGGCTGTGTATCTGTGCCTACCCCAAGGTTCTGGAGGCCTGAGGAGTCTGGAGCTGTGACTCCTATAGGACCCCACCCAATATGATCCAGCCTCAGGCTTCTGGGCATTCTTCACCACTTATCTCCAGAAGTTTCTGGTTTTCACCATGCCATGTTGTTGGTTGGCCAGGAATAACTCTCCTGCCTCTTGCCCTGCGTTTCCTTTTCAGGAAACTCTCCACCTTCAACTCGTACATGAAGGCCCATGGCTATGATGTGGAGCAGTTATGGAAGGCCATCGAGGATGTCATCATCAAGACACTCATCTCAGCTCACCCAGTCATCAAGCACAACTACCACACCTGCTTCCCCAGCCACACACTCAACAGTGCCTGCTTTGAAATTCTGGGTTTTGACATCTTGTTGGACCGAAAACTCAAACCCTGGCTGCTGGAGGTAAGGAAGTTAGGGGTGTAAGCTGTCCCTGTTACTGGGGTACCTCAGCCTTGGGGACTCTGCCTTCCTGACTCACCTGGGTTGCTTCAATCAACTTCCCCCTGCCACTCCTTTCCACGGTGCTTGCTGCTCCTGGGGCATGAGGCTCAGCTTGAGAAGTGGCCAGCAGAGGGGGGTAGACGGCTGGGAATTAGAGAATTCCTTGCACCTTCCCGATGTCCAACTAGATTTACCACTGCCACTGGTCCAGGAACAGAGAGCTTGTAATGACCATTCGGCTTCCTGTGTTTCCTACATAGAGGCTGTTCCGTCCCAAAACTTGCTTGCCAGTGATTGTGTCAAGTCGGATTGTGTCAAGTGTCTTTGCCTGGCTCTCGGGGACCTGAGCTACCCAGTTGCAGACACTGGCATAGGGGATTCTGCCATCAGAGTGGGGAAACCCAACCCCTCCCCCACCAAGCTGTGGGTATGAAAAGGCAGAGATTTCTGAGTGGCAGTTTCGCTTCCTGATTAGATTAGTCCTCTGGAACTTTCTTAAGCAGCCATTCTACATGCATAAGAGCCGAGAATGTGGAGTTGTAGCTGGAATACCAGGTTGCTCTGACTCCCCTTACACTCAACCCTTATTCTCAGATTCATGAAGGGGGCACTGTTTGGAGCTCCTGCCCCAAAGACAGAACGAGTGGCAGCAGCAAGCCTCCAGAAGCTGCTGGAGATCCACAAATGTAGATGAGCAATACTGACTCTTCTGTGGGTGGGAATTAGGCTCCTAGCCTTCTTCAGCTGCCTCTTCTTCAACCCTGTTGGCTTCCAGAAAGAATCACCCTGCTTCCAAACTTTGAGCTGGCCTCTGTGTTTTCCTCTGTATTTCTCTTATTCCCTTTCCTTCTTTTCTCCTCCCTCCCTCCTTGCCTTTCTTTTCTCGCCATGTAGCCCTGTCTGGCATGAAACTCACTCTGTAGACCAGACTGGCCTTGAACTCACAGATCCACCTGCCTCTGCCCACCCCCATCCCCAAGCACTGGGATTAAAGCATGCACCACTTTCCCCTTACCCTAGTGTTCTTTCTCATTTTCCTCTCCTCTCCACTCCTCTTCTACCCACCCACCCCCTTTTTCTTTTTGAATGAATGTTTCTTTATTTGGTTCTGGCTGTCCTGAAGCTAGCTCTGTAGACCAGGCTGGTGTCAAACTCAAGAGATCCTCCTGCTTCCGCCTCCTGAGTGCTGAGATCAAGGTGTGGGCCACCACCGCTGGACTCATTTCTCTCTTCTTCCCTTCCCCATTCCTTCCTTCCTTTCCTCATTCCTCCCAACCCTCCTTCTTTCCTACCTTTTGTTTTCATTTGCTTGTTTGTTTGAAATAGGATGCCCTTTTAATAGCACAAGCTATTCTGGAACTTACCGTGTTGCCTAGGTTGGCTGCAAACTTGTGTCAGGTCTCTTGCCTCAGCCTCCTGAGGCAATTTACAGGCATGAGCCACTTAATCTTGTCTTAATCCTGCCTGGTTAATCCTATCACTTTAGACCTCCTCCTCCCGCTGTCGTCTGCGGGTCTGTGTAAGAGAACACATGCCATGTGACAGAGCAACCGTGGGGAGGGAACTCTTGCTTCCAAAGGAGAAAGGACTGAAAGAAAGAGCTGGTGACAGAGGTAGCGCAGCCTTTAATCCGAGCACTCAGGAGGCTGAGGCAGGCTCATCTCTGTGAGTTCCAGGTCAGCCTGCTCTATGAGTTTCAGGCCAGCTAAGGCAATATAGAGAACCTGTTTCAAAAACAAACAAACAAACAAACAAACAAAATCCCACCTGGTTACACTAGAGGGAGTTGTACTTCCCACCCTCCCTGCTTTCTTCATAGTGGCTGCAGTGTAGACCTCTCCGCTCCCTTCCCCTCACCTTGACAGCCAGGGCTATGAGGCAGCTATGAGGTGGCTATGAGGCGGCTATGAGGCGGCTATGAGGCGGCTATGAGGCGGCTATGAGGCGGGCCTTGGCAGCACCTGGAGGTGGCATGTTGGCCTCCTCTGTGCTTTCAGGCTGGTCAGCCCCCTCCCCAACTGCTATCATGTCTTCACAGGTTAACCATTCTCCAAGCTTCTCCACTGACTCCAAGTTGGATAAAGAGGTGAAGGACAGCCTGCTCTATGACGCGCTGGTCCTCATCAATCTGGGGGGCTGTGACAAAAAGAAAGTCCTGGAGGAAGAGAGGAAGCGGGGACGGTTCCTGCAGCAGTGTCCTTCTCGGGAGATGAGGTACAGCAGTGCCCCTAGCGTGTGTGTGTGCGTGCGTGCGTGCGTGTGTGTGTGTGTGTGTGTGTGTGTGTGTGTTCCTATTCTAGCAGTCTCTATCTCATTGCTTTGAGGCAGGATCCCTTACTGACTGGTGTTCAGCAAGCCCCAGTGATCCTCCTGTCTCCACCCACTTCCGCATCAGGGTTTCAGGCTGGTTGCTTGCTTGCTTATGTGTGCTCAGCCACGCCCAACTTTTTATGAGAATGCTGGGATCTGACTGAGGATCCTCAAGCGTGCACACCATGTCTCTGGCCGGCACTTGCTTTTCATCTTTTTGTTTTGTCTTTTTTTTTATGCATTCTTTGTTCTTCTTGTTTTGTTTTCTGAGATAGCATCAGATATCACGATTCCTGTCAGGAAACTGACATGGATATGTTCAGCTGGCTGATGACAGCTCTAAACTCCAGAGTCCAGGGTGCCTGCTGCCTGGGACTCCAGAAGGCTTTTGTACAGTACTGCTGTCCCAATGCCCTCAGGAATAAGGTGTTAACTGTCACACTGAAGGCCTCTTTTGTGTTACTTGGCTGGACAGCCCGGTGGCTCTTGACATCCCTGCAGTACAGTGTGTAGGGAGCTTACTCTGCTACTCTACCCATCTCCTCCTCCTGGGGGGCCGGGGTGAGGAAGCGTGAGAACTTCCCGGCTCATAAAGGCTTATTAAGTCCATCTAAGAAGACCTCAAATTTAGCAAAATACGAGCTGCTGTTCTCCAGAGAAGGGTAATGGGGGCAATGAATGGGAAGGTGGCGACAGTCTGCCTGGTCTGACTATGCCAAAGGGGAAATGGGTTTTACTCACAAAGGGAGAGACTTTGGTTGAGCTTGCAAGCAGCTCCCTCCCACATTGTGATGCTGACTGTCCTAGGAGAGCTAGAACTCCCTTTCAGAAACATTCTTGCTCTTATTTAGCAAATACTGATCAACCACTATTATGTGCAAGGCCCTACATGACACCCAGCTTGCACATGTCCCTTCCAAGAAGACACACCTGCAGCCCTGTATTCTGTTTCCCAACAGGATGGAAGAGGTCAAGGGTTTCCAGGCAGTGCGGTTACAGAAAACAGAGGAATATGAGAGGAAAAACTGTGGCGGGTTCCGCCTCATCTACCCTGGTCTGAATTTGGAGAAGTACGAGAAATTTTTCCAGGACAATAGCTCCCTCTTCCAGAACACTGTTGCTTCCAGAGCCCGAGAGCTGTATGCCCGGTAGGAAGGCTTCCTCTCAGGCTGAGGTGGGCTGGGTGTTGTGCTTGATCTACTCCTCTGGGTGGCCCAAGATGGCAGGGAGAACTTCTGTGTCCCAGTTCCCAACCTTGCAGCTGATGAAGAACATTTGGTCTGGGTCTCACAAAGACCAGGAACTGGAAGGTTCCACAGGACAGTGAGTCATTAAGTAGATGAGCATTGGGCAGTGGCGGCGCACACCTTTAATCCGGCAGAGGCAGGGTTATCTGTGTGGGTTTGAGGCCAGCCTGGTCTCCAGAGCGAGTGCCAGGGCAGGCTCCAAAGTGACACAGAGAAACCCTGTCTCAAATAACAACAACAACTACTAAATTAGGCGAGGTACTGTTTTAGGCACTCACCTTGAAACAGATGCCCGCCCCACCATATAACATATATCCAGGTTATATGAAATCCAAGAGCTTTCATGAAGGGAGCCATCCTGTTAGGTCCAGTTCCTACCAGGCAACTTATTTATGAGAGGGGATGTCAGAGAGGAGGTCACATAGCAAGTTGACACCAAATGATTAATTACCCTGTCCCCTGACCGGTATATCACCTTTGGTCCAGTCCCAGGATCCACTGGCCAGAGAGCCCATCATATGGAGTGGCTCAATATGGGGGCACTTGGCCTTAGCCCTCCTACCTAAGCCTTCTTTCCAGGGAAGGGGGAAGTGAATGGCAGGTACCTTTGCTGTGCCACTTTACTTGAAAGGATGCCATTCCCCAGTCTGGGGATGGTTGGATGGACAGACAGCTCTTTCTCACCCACACTGTTCCTTGGCCTTCAGTCACATGTGCAGGGACTCTTTTTCTCCATTCCATCTTTTTTTTCAAATTATTATTTATTTTACTTTATGTCTGAGGGTGTTTTGCCTGCATGTATGTCTGTGCAGTATGTACATCCAGTGCCTGCAGAATCCAGAAGAAGGCATCAGATCCTCTGGAACTGGAATTACAAACAGTAGTGAGCTGCCATATGGATCCTGGGACTCGAACCTGGGTCTTATGGAAGAGCAACACGTGCTCTTAACCACTGAGCCGTTTCTCTAGCCCTCTCCATTCCATTTTCTCTGTCCTCCAAGTAGAATGCTTGGTCCCTAGCCCATGACACTCACCTGCTCTTCAATCAACAGGCAACTGATCCAGGAGCTGAGGCAGAAACAGCAAAAAAAATTCTTTCTAAAGAAAGAAAAGAAGGTAGACCTGCAGGGCGAGTCTGTGAGTGAGCAGGCAAGAGACAAGATCCTGAAAACCGGGCGACAGAAACAGCAGCAGAAGAGCAAGACAACCACCTATCCCCCCAAACAAGTAAACTCAGTTGAGGGGGGTGTGTCTATAACCAGCACCCTGCCCCAGCTTGGGCCAATCTGTGGGAGGGCGCCACAGAATCCTCTGCTGCAGACTGCCTGAAGGGCTGGACTACAGGAGAGCACACAGACTGGCATCTGTTAGAGGATCCCTTCTCCATCCTGAACATAGAGGGTGCTCACTGGTCTTTCCTTCTTGCCTTTGGGAGTAAGAGCAGCCTGGCTGTGCTGGGGGCTGAGCCCGGGCCCATAAAGCGAGTGTGCTCCATCAATACCTGTGTCTACTCACCACTGTCATCCCCAACCTGGGTGGGAATGTCCCTACAGCAGGCTCCTCAGGAGGGCTGCTGGGAGGCGCGAGCCACAGAATACTTCATGGGGGATCACTAAAAAGGCCTGGGGGCTTCCTTCATGCTCACTCACTGCACAGGGTGGCCCAGCCCCCGGCGAACTCCTCATTGTCCTGGGACTAAGTCTCTGATTTCCACCTTCTCCGCCTCTGGTTCTCTTCTACCTCAGTAAAAAGACACGGATGATTTTTCAGTACCTCTCCTTGTCACTCTTGGGTTTTGTTTTCTGTGCACTTTTTTGTTTGTTTAAGGTGTGGGGGGGTCTCATGTAGCACAGGCTGACCCCAAACTTGTTTTGTAGCCAAAGATAATGTAGAACTGATTCTCCTGCCTCCACCTCCTGAGTGCTGGGACTACAGGCATGAGGCACAAGGCCTGGTTAGTACAGTGCTGGAGATCAAAGCAGGGCCTCATGGACAGTAGGCTATTAATTGAATACAATATTGCCAGCCTCCCTCTGATCTTTTATTTTTTCAAAATGTCTCACTCTCACTGGGGAGACCTGCTGGCCTGGAACTCACATGTAGACCATGCTGTAATTTGTGCTAATCCTGCTTCTGCATCTGGAATGCTGGGATTGCAGGAGTTGTGCCGCCATGCCTGTTTATCTCCTTACTCGTGAAGACTTGCCTGGAAGGACAAGATTAGAGCTGGGTTGGGGACTGTTTGGGAATCTGATGAAAGCTGTGGCATATCTTACCATCAAGTATACACTGTGCTGTTTGAAATCTCAGTTTCAAGTGCCTAACGACTCCCTCCCCCAATCCAGCCACAAGCTTTGTAAGGGTTCTAGAATCCCGGGCTAAAAGTTCCAGACTAGAAAGTCTTTGGTGCCTCCTGTTTCCTTTCTCATCACTTCTTTTGCACCTTCCCTGGGGTGCAGATGAATCTGATGGTGGACAGGACTGCGTTCCCCATGGGCTGTGTGTCTGATTTCCTCCTTCCCAGTGCTACCACCCAGTGGCTTTAGTATCCTGCACACCTGGCTTGTTCTTGAACATCAGAGGCATAAGGAATAATGAAACCGCCGGTAGCCTCCACCAGCAGGACTCCAAGGCGGCCAGCCTCGCTCCCTGCAAGCTCATGCCAGCGAGGCACTACAGTTCTGTCCCTGACCTAAGGAATTCAAATTCCAGCTGCTGTGGGCCAGAGCTCCAAAAGTGCAATTCCAAAATCAAGGAAGTGAAGTCGGCCTTTTCAGTGAACATAATCAGCAATAATACCCTGGTAAGTAGAGGGCTGTGCTCTGGGAGGGAGTGGTATGAGTCCTGGCTTCTGGTCCTTTCTCTGTTCCTAACTTGGAGCTCTTGTAGTACCCACTGATGCTACCCGAGGCTCAGTTTCCCCTGGTCATGAAGTCCAAACAGTGGGATGGCATACCTGCTGGGAGGGCAAGCCTGGAATGGCTTTGAGGAGACTGCCCTCCACATCTCCTTTTCGTGGGCAGGTTGCCAAAATCGTGCTAGTTTCCTCCAGTGCTGTGTCTTAAAGATAGACACTTAAAACAGCACCATGTGTCCTCTCTCGGCTCCAGAAACTAAAGTGTGGGCAGGGCCAGGTTCCATCTGACGTCTCTGGAGAAAAAAATTCATCACATTCTGATGGCTGATGGCAAGCCTCAATCAGTGACAGCATTATTGCCTATGTTGTCACATGGCCTTTCCCTTCTATTTCTTCCAGGTACATTTTTTTCATTTTTTGTCTGTTGGGTTTTTTGTTTGTTTTGTTTTCTGTTTTTTAGGCAGGGTCTCACAATGTAGCCCTGGCTGGCCTGGAACTCCTTGTATAGACCAGGCTGGTCAAAAATTCTAGAGTGCCCCCTGTCTCTGCCTCCTGAGTGCTGGGATTAGAGGTGTGTGCTACCACACCTAACAATAAACTGATTTTTATGAGATAGGTGAGGTGAAGTGTGCCTGTGGTTCCAGCTATCTGGAAGGAGGGTCGCTTAAGCTCCAGAATTGAGGGCTTGTCTGTTCCACCTTATATACTTTCTTTGTGTGTGTGTGTGCCTGAGTGTATGTTTCCACCATTTGAATGCAATGCCTGCAGAGGTCAGAAGACAGCATCAGATCCCCTGGAACTGGAGTTACAGGAAGTTGTAAGCCACCATGTACGTGCTGGGAACTGAACCTGGGTCTTCTGCCAAAGCAGCACGTGCTCTTAACTGCTGAGTCATCTCTCCATCCCCCAATCTATCCCATATATATCTGCAGGTGGTGGTGGCACATGCTGGTAATCCCAGCACTCGGGAGGCAGAGGCAGGCCGATCTCTGTGAGTTCGAGGCCAGCCGTGTCTCCAGAGAGAGTGCCAGAATAGGCTCCAAAGCTACACAGAGAAACCCTGTCTTGGAAAAAAAAAAAAAAAAGAAAAAAAAAGTATATATAATAAATGTTCCCAAACACAGAAACAAGTATAAAATCTTTATATAGTACCCCCTCCATGTTTATAGGTTCTATATCCACAGGTTCAGTGATCTACAGATCAAAAAATATTTTTAAAAAGATGCAGTTACCAAACATATAAACTTTATTTTTTAAATGTGCCTGCATGTGTGTGCTTGTATGTGCACACTCCAGTTAACAACACTGGGTGTCACTCATCAGGTGCCATCCACCTTGTTTTTGGGAGAGGAACTCTCTCACTGGCTTGGAAGTCACCAAGTAGGCTAGGCTAACTGACCCAAGTGTTCCAGAATCCTTCTGTGTCTATGTCTCTCCTGGGAAGATTACAAGTACAAGCTTTTTAAACAAAACAAAACAAGTCAGGCAGTGGTAGCGCACGCCTTTAATCCCAGCACTCTGGAGGCAGAGGCAAGTAGAGTTTGAGGTCAGCCTGGTCTACAGAGCTAGTTCTGGGATAGCCAGTTTTCTGCTGTGTAACTCAGGCTGGTCCCTCACTCAGGGCCTCCTGCCTCTGTGTTCTAGATGCTCTTATAGAGTATAGGTCTGTGCCACTAGGCCAGCACAGCAGGCAGACTTTTTCCCTTGACATCATTCCCTAAACCATATAGTGTGACAGCTAATTATGTAGCATTTCCATTGTATTAGACATTAAGTCCATCTAGAGGTGATTTAAAATATATATGAGGCAGGTGTGGTGGTACACACCTGTGATCCCAGTACTAGAAAAGTGGAGACAGGAAGATCCATAGTTCGTGGTCATCCTTGGCTACATATTGGTCAGCATGGGATGCACAAGACCTGTCTCAAAACAAGCAAGCAAGCAAGCAAGCAAACAAACAAAACGACACACACACACACACACACACACACACACTGACAATAAAGAACTATTGGGATGAAATGTGTAGGTGACACATGAGGACTACATTTTATATAACAGACTTGATGGCCCTTGGATTTTGATATTCTTGGGATGGAGTGTCCCTGGGCCAGTTCTCTAGACAACAAACGACAACCACGTTTGCAAATCATGTTCCACTACAGAACCAGGCCAAAGAAACAGCAGCAATGAACTATTTAGAGAGTATATCCAGCAGTCAATTGTCTAGTTTTTAAAAAATTTAAAACCAGGTGTGGTGGTGGATGTTTTTAATGCTAGCACTTGGGAAGGCAGAGGCAAGTGGATCTCTGTGAGTTCAAGACCAGCCTGGTCTACAGAGCGAGTTGTAGGCCAGACTGGGCTACACAGAGAAACCCTGTCTCAAAAGCAACAACAAAAGTATAGACTCAAATTACTTAAGAGAGAGACTGATAGAAAGAATGTGCTTTTGGGCTCTATGATGTTGGGTTTGGCAGAGATTGTTGGGGACACAGCAAAAACATTAGATAAGGAAAACTTCATCAAACTCAGGATCTCTCAGCAAAGGCAACAATAAAGAGTGGAAAGCTGACCTACAGGGTGGAGAATCAGTCTGCAAAACATGCGTCTGATACTTTTTTTTTACTCTGCTCTGGCTGCAGTCAGTAAGCAAGCACCTTTAAGAGCTGTTAAGATGGCTCTGCAGTGGGCTGAAGAGATGTTCAGGGGTTAAGAGCACTGGTTGCTCTTTCAGAAAACTCAGGTTCAATTCTCAGCACCCACATGGCAGCTCATAACTGTCTGTAACTCCTGTTCCAGGGGACCTGACACCTTCACACAGGCAAAGCACACATACCCTTATACATGCAGGCAAGAAACCACCAGTGCACATGAAATAAGAATAAATAAATTATAAAGTTTTTGTATGCTAATGGAACAATGCTTGGGTCATCCTAGAGCCAACTTGTAGCATGAATAATAAAAACCCAGAGGCAGATATTGGGGTTCAAGCTGAAGATCAGAAAAGCAAAGCAGCTAGACACTAGAGACTTCTTAGCTCTACCAAGGTTGGGGTGATCCTGTCCTCAGTGTGACTGCAGACTGAATACACTACGTTCCAGTCTCCACCAGCCTTATATTCCTCATAATCCTCTCTATAGTGTACCACCACTTCTATGGCTAACTAGTGTGGCTTCTGGGATTAAAGGTGTGTGCCACC